ATTGGAGTCCAGGACCAGGAATCACCCCACAAACCGCATGAATACTGACCTCAGTCAGACAGGCATGGTTTCTTGAACACACACTTTAAGACTGATCAATCAGGGCTGTAGTTCAGGATTTGGGGGCTGAGCTATGACCCTGAACATCTTTCTCTGTCAGCTTATAAAGATTAAAACCACAAAAACCACAATGAGCTCATATGCAGGTGCAGGAAGTGCTGCCCAGTGGTCAGCTCTGACCCAAGCCCTTTAGACACAATAGTTGATTTTGACTTTCATTTGATGGGTCCTATGTAAAACTTTGGGGAATTTCTTAAGACTAACAACCCTCAGAACATACAGAATATAACAGGATATGTGATTAGCGTGACTTCGCTCTGAGTCAAGTTATTTTTCTGTGTCAATGACTGGCAGGCAAATTAAAGCAACAATATGAAATAGCTGGCATGGAACAAAATGTCTACAGCTATGCTGAGGTGGGGGACAGGCCTCAACACAAAGGCTCTGGAGAAAGATGAAGAGAAAAGCCATGCACTTTAAGACAAGAGACTCACACAAGAGTCATCCAGGCCAGAACAGGTTGACCAGGCCAAGTGGCCTGAGAGGCCTCCTCATAGACGACACTTCAGAGGTTTACCTTTGTCATATTTATATGTATCATCCTCAGAGTATAATGAACTTGTGGAAAGTTACTATGAACAACTAAAATATCAGCTTTGGAAGAATTAAAAAAAAAAATCTAGCTACAACATTCAATTGATATTTTAGAAGTTAACTCTCATATTAACATGAGTCTCCGTCACGTTTCGTTGTGCTTTTGTTATAAGGGCCTTACTATATATTCTAGTCTAGCCTAAAGCTCACTGTGTAAAGCTCATGCCTCCAACTCAAGGTGCCTTGGTCTCCTGAATGTTTGGATTAAAGTGTGAACACCAAACCCAAAACCATTGTAATTTTCATTGCTAAACCTTATAGTCTCAGAACCAAAGCTGTACAGACATGTTCCAGAAACAGGTACTTGATGATATTTATCTGTTTCTTAACTCACTTGACATAACCCACAGACTTGAAAAGGTCTGAAAGAGAAGCCCTGAGACATTTCCCATATTGCTACTAACACCATGGACTCCAACAGGTCTTGGAGGGAAAAGGTACGGATTTAAAACAATGATAAATGAAAGGAGAGTGAAATTGTTGATAGTGTGAACGAGCGAATAGGATATCTAACTGGAGTTTTGTGGGTTGCAGAGGCTTAGGGCAAAGGAACAGCCTCTATTCAGATGCTTCTTAGGAGAAAGGACACTGGAGGAGACTGAAAATCTCTGTCTCTCCCACCTTTCTTGAGACAGGGTCTCACTATGTACCTCTGGTTGGTCTGGAACTCGTTATGTAGACCAAGCAGGCCTTGAACTTACATTCCTCTGCCTCTCAAGAGCTGGGATTAAAGAGAAGCACCACTATGTTTGCCTGGAACGTTCCCTTTTAATTCAGAAGTGAGCTGTATAATATTCAAGCTGTTAAACTTATTAACTTTGATTAGAAAGTGATCTATGGGCTTATTTTCTCCTACCAAACCCAGGGAAGATGAATGAGTGATCACCCGAGTGAACACTGGGTGCCCTGAATTCATAAAGATGTAAAAATGACCTTTGGTCTAATAGTCACCCATTGTCAACCCTGCCTGATGGCTCATACCTGTAATACCAGCTACTGGTAGGATGATTGAAATTTGTCTTAGTCACTATTCTATTACTATGAAGAGACACCATGACAAAGGCAACTCTTTTAAAAGGAATCATATAATTGAGGGCAGGTTATCATTTTGAAGGGGGTTAGTCATAACCATCATGGTGGAAACTGAACAGGCATGGTGCTGGAGCAGAAGCTGAGAGCTTTATTTACTGATCATAGGTAACAGGCAGAGAGAGACTGTGTCTGGCATGGGTTTTTGACACCTCCTAGTGATAAACTTCTACCCACAAGACCACACCTCCTAATCCTTTTAATCCTTTTCAAACAGTTCCACTCCCTGATGACCAAGCATGCATATATATCTCCCTATTGGGGGAGGGGGTCATTCTCATTCAAAGCACCACTGAAGTTGAAAGTCATCCTTGACTACATTAGGATTTTTTAGGTTAGCCCTATCTAAGCTAGGAAGTCTGTCTTTAAAAAAGAAAAAGAAGATAGGATGGAAGAGATGGAGGAAAGGAGGCAGGGAGGAAAGATGGAAAGAAGAGGAAAGGGAGAAGGAAAGAGAATAAAGAAAAAGAAAAGAGAAAATAGCTGGACAGATGGCTCATTCAGTAGTGCATTTATTCCACAAGCATGTGGAACTGAATTTCTGATCCCAAACATCCATGTAAGTAGTCAGGACCAACAACATGTCTGTAATTTCAGTGCTTGGGAGACAGAGACAGGTAGATCCCTGGAATTCGCTGGCCAGCTACAATAGCTGAATCATTGAACTTCAGGTTCAATGAGAGACTCTGTCTCAGAAAATAAGACAGAATACCGATTTCTACAGTAGACTTCTGGCCTCCACATTTAGCCACACACATGGATAAATACACTCACGTGAACACCTGTAAGTCCCATACATGCAGCATATACACAAATTATTTTGAAAAAGGCTGTAGGCACTCACTATTAGTATGCTTGCTTAGCATGTGTACAGTCCTAATTTCAACGTCCAGAACTGAAAATAAAGTTGTCCCTTATGTGTCTCACCGCCAGTACACTGTATATAAAAATATATTTGTAACATACCAGTAAAAAGGTGGGGAACAGTTAGGGTTTGGGGATCACATATAATTAGGTATGACTTGGCAAGTCTATACGGTGAGAATAAAAAGATTACATACAAATTTTTTCACATAAATTTCAACATTTTCCAAAATAAAAGTTCAATGAGAAAAATGTCATTAGTTTCATTTTTACAAAACCTTTAATGTATTTTTTAATTCGTGATAGCTGTATCTCTATCTATCTATCTATCTATCTATCTATCTATCTATCTACTGTATACCTCTATTGTTTTGGAAACAGGGTCTTCTGTTGGCCTGGACCCCTCTATGTAGACCAGGATAGCTTTGACTTTGTAGCAATCCTCTTGGCTTAACT